TGGGAAGGTACCCAATGAGTATCGAACTCACTACTCAGTCGTAATTTTTCTAGATAGTCAAGCTTACTAACAATTACACCACCTCGATATATGGAAAGATATAGTCGAGAACCTTGTAAATATAATATATATATATATATATATATGTTTGTAATACAGTCTGCTCGCTATTTTCTGTTTCAATTTTTATCTGTTTATATATCAGTGATTTTATCTTTCTTTACATCTATCTCGGTTTGTTTATACCTCTGTCTATCTACCAACTTATCTATATATCTATCCATCTTCAAATTCTATTACATTCTCTTTATTTATCTATTCATATATCTCTTTCTATCTCAGTCCTTTTCTATCTATCTATCTATCTATCTATCTATCTATCTATCTATCTCGCTTCATTTTTTTTTATTTAAATGCAACGTTCAGACGCTTATCTTAAATGTTTTTCCTTTCGGTAATATAGACGTGCTGTTTTTGTTTTTTTTTCTGGTGATGTCATATTAATTCCGAAGTATGTCATTTTTGTCGATTATCTTATATATATTCGGATTTCATTCAGTTTTACTCATATATATATATATATATATATATATATATATATACGACCACAATATAGACATATATATGTGTGTGCATAGGATCTCTTTTATTTGTCAAAGTAAGGCAATATTTCAAAATTAATTTCACGCATCAAGAATGAGATCATTTGTTTGGATGAAATTTATATTAATTATCAAACCTAATGTCATAATATATGTTTGTACCTTATCCATTTATTGATCTTATTTTGCAACGTTATATATGCCTGAATAATAATATCATACCAATATTGATTTTCGCTTATTTCTATATCAGTATTTGCAGTCAAGTTGACATGTGTGTTTTTTTTAATGCATCAGATGTTCTCATTAAATCTTCTGAAGACTGGCTTTTTCAGTTAAGTCTTGAGACGTTTCACAATTTTCACTTGATTTCAAAATAACCTTAAATAAAAAAAAAACTTCAAAATTAATATTCTGTACATGAAAATATAAACAGAAAGCAAAATAAAACGATAAATTGCTTCACTTTAAGCGAATGTTTCGAGTATATTTTTTAAATTGCAATTTTCCCCTGTTGTTGCTGTGTGAGTGCCTTTTTTAAAAAGCGTATTAACAAATAAAATGCAATATACAAAATAGTCAACAATTTTGTCAGCTGTTAAATTTTCACTTGCATTTTAAATTCAATATTGAGAATCCAGTGACTTGACCTAATCTTTTAAGGTATGTATTTTGAAAGAAAACACCTGTAAAGTTTAAACCTGGGCGTTACTCAGATGTGTGACAGTAACGAGTCCAAAGTGAAAACTTTTGTTTATCAGTTACTGAAATCCTAGTCCATACAGAGATTTGTTTTCGAAAACATCACGCGCATATACATACAATTACATATCCATTCATATTACTGATTATACAAAGATACTATTAATTTTTATTTGATTTCAACTGTTCAGACACCTCCATCTTTTTTCTCAGTGTCTAATCAATGCATTCATAGTCAAGCTAGTATCTATTAAAGCCGTAAGTACTGCAACAGTTGTTCTACTAAAAATCCGGAAATTACTGATATATGTGGACAACGAGCTGTTGACGGAAGTCGCCTTTACTCACGTGATCTATAAATGAGAATAAGTCTTTTTTTTTTTTATAAGTTTGATATTGAGATGGTTAGTTTAACATTTAGGTATACTAGGTAAACGTTAGTGACGAACGATCTTTCCTCCAAAGCCAATGTTTCGCGAATTATAAGTATCAGGGTTTTTTTTATTAATACATCCCTGTCTTTGAATAATTTATAATCTCTAAAGAAAAATGTCGGCAAAAATTTTGCTAAATACTACATTATGCCATTAGAGTAACGATATACATACGTGTGATTTCAATTGTTTATTCACACTTGGATATGGCCAAGCTTAGGAGAAATTCGCCGAGTGACTCAACAAATATGCCTTTAATAAAACATGTTTAATAGAACATATTTAAAAGAACATGTTTAATAGGACGTGTTTAATAGAACAGGTTTAATAGAACGTGTTTAAACTAGGTATTGCTTCCTAAATATAACTATATTCTTATTTGATTGGGTCATTTTATTTAGCGTCATGTCAACACCTATATTAGTTATTTAATAACCAAATCAAAACATTTTTGTACGCGATTTTATTTTATTTTGGGAGATATCAATGGTTTATTGATACAAGTCTTATTAATTATGTAAATGATAGCTAGGTGGAGAAGAGCGGAGTCCTATCTATCCCAAGGGTAATTTGTACGTAAATGAATGAAACGAACGCAACTGGAATTAGATTCGATTCCTCGATTAACGATTCCACGTGCAAATCCATGCTTACAACCCCTGATATTCCAAAGCGCTCATCCATCTATGTACTGACCAGGGTCGACGTTGCTTAACCTCGGTGATCTTACAGGAACCGGTGCTTCAACGTGATGTGGCTGTAAGTCAGTTCATATTTGAGTATATATCGTTAGAACTAATTATATGCGTTCATATGTCTGTTAAGCTACACACACACACACACACACACACACACACACACACACATATATATATATATATATATATATATATATATATATATCAAAGTGGACATTGAAGTCATTATGCTTAATATGACATCGTCAGTGAACGCAATCGTCAAGCCATAATATATATAATGAGAATCTTGGACTCTTTAAGTTCAGGGACAACCGGTATCTATTCCTATTCTACACGTCTTAGTATGATTTTTTATTCCCCTTTCTCCCTTTCTTACACCAAACTTACTCAGTAACCCACTACCTTGAGCGGCTCTTTGGACTGTATTCCGCTTGTAATATATGAAAGTCCACCTATGCCTCTACCTATGTGTCTCTAACTTTAGTGTACCATAACCCCGTGATTTTTTTTTTTGTCAGGATAACAGACCCTGCTCTATCAAATAGACACACGTTTATATAAACGTATATGTAATATATATATATATATATATATATATATATATATATATATATATATATATATATATATATATATATACTTTTATTAGAATTTATTTTGTCTGCGTATGCGTACAGTAGATCCCTATGATGATATGCAACGACACAAAGGACAATCTAATAAAGCATATTTAACTAAATATATATACAAGACATACAATCGTATATACACTTATCTCCTTAATCTTATAAACAAGGACATACATTTAAATATACATATTACGCAATCGTATATATGTATATACTTCATGTATACGTAAAATTCAAGATGCACATTTATACACCTTCAAATCACTTTCCTTTTATATCTGTACATTCAAACACACACATACGCATATATATATATATATATATATATATATATATATATATATATATATATATATTTACGTAATCTAATGTATATTCTTGTACGCGAACATGTATATGTGTGTGATGTTTTAAATTTATTTCTGTATTTAATTTTGTTTTTAATGATTTTGTTTATTTTTTTCCGTTTTTTCTTTTTGATTTTTTTTTATTAGATTTTTCCTTTTTTTTAATTTTCAATATTTTTGCTTTTTTTGTTGTTTTTCTTTATTTAGTTGTTTTTGTTTATTTAATTATCACATTTTTTTTTAAAAGTCTGGATGCGAAAACAGAAATTTAGAACTTATACGGCGTTTAATTTAATGGATAAAAATCAATTTCTATTAGTTCTAGTTGGATAATAAATGATGTCGATTTTTAGGGATTGTTTTATAGTTTGCTTTAATATCTGTTTGCATTTTCTTTTGCTTTGATTTTTAACTCATTTGAAAAGATTATTTTTCATTTTTTTTCTTTCATTGATTCTTGTATGCCTTTTCAGTCTATTTGACGCCATATTCATTTCATACATTTTGCCTTTCTTTTTATTCTCATTCATAGCTTCTTTTCTTTCTTTTTTCATTCGTTTTTCTTTCTTTCTTTTTTGTTTCTTTTTTTCTTTCTTTCTTTTTCCTAATTATTTTTTTTCGTTTCGTATCTTCATTCCCTAATGTCTTTTCGCTTTCAATTAACACTTTTCCTACTTTACATCTTCTTTCTCCTTCATCTCTCTCTATCTTTTTTTTTCCATTCTTTTTCTTTCATTATCATTCTCTCCTTTTTTTCATTCTTCCATCCTGTAACTGTCTTTCTTCTTTCTCTTATTTCTCTTTCACTGCTCTACTTGTATTTTTCCTATTTTCCATCATCTCTTTTCGTTCATACAGATTTCATTCTTTCTCTCTTTCTTTCTCTCTCTCTTATTCTTTCTCTCTAACAAGCCTCATTTCGTTCTTATAGATTTCATCTTTTGTTCTCTCCTTTCTTTCTAAAAATGCTATTTTCATTCATATTAATTTCTTTTTTCTCTTTACTTCTTTTATCTTTCTGACAAACCACTTTTCGTTCATACAGATTTTTTCTTTCTTTTTCTTTTGTTGTAACAAACCTCTTTTTGTTAATATAGATTTCTTTTTCTCTTTCTTTCTGTCTTTATTTCCTTCTTTCTTTCTTTTTTCTTTCTTTCTTTCTTTCTTTCTTTCTAACAAACTTTATTCCGTTCATATATATTTCTTTCTTTCTTTCTTTCTTTTTTCTTTCTTTCTTTCTTTCTTTCTTTCTTTTTTCTTTCTTTCTTTCTTTCTTTCTTTCTTTCTCTTTCTTTCTAACAAACTTTATTCCGTTCATATATATTTCTTTCTTTCCTTCTTTCTTTCTTTTTTCTTTCTTTCTTTCTTTCTTTCTTTCTTTCTTTCTCTTTCTTTCTAACAAACTTTATTCCGTTCATATATATTTCTTTCTTTTTTCTTTCTTTCTTTTTTCTTTCTTTCTTTCTTTCTTTCTTTCTTTCTTTCTTTCTTTCTTTCTAACAAACTTTATTCCGTTCATATATATTTCTTTCTTTCTTTCTTTCTTTCTTTCTTTCTTTCTAACAGACCTCTTTTCGCTCACATTAATTTCTTTCTTTCTAACCAACTTCATTCCCTGTTTCATTTTAACGCCGACTGATCTCTCTTTTTTTTCCAAGTTATTTTCTTCTTCATTCTTTCGAAATATATTTTCATGCATTTACTCGACTCTATTTCTATTTGTTTGGCCGTTGCTGCATGAAAGATCGACGTCTCTTACATCTTTTCAGGAGAAAACACAATCAAGTTTGAAATAAATCATAACTAACATTGTATATGTTTGTGTAATCTATTTACATATATACACACATATGTATATACATATATATATATATATATATATATATATATATATATATATATATACATATAAGTGTGTGTACATATCACTATGTTTAGAAAGTTATCTTTCAAACAAGTTTCATTATTGTGACGAAGCAGGAAGTCTTACAAAAATCGATTTTCTCATATTCTTGGACAGCTTTCCGGAGGTTGTACTTCAGACGTTATTAGGGCATTTTTAAAGGGTTTTTTTTTTCTATCATCGTCAGGAGATTTAGGCTTTACTTTTTTAAGCAGTAAGTATTTCTTCATTTCTAAGAACAGAAAATTAACTGAGCCCTTTCAGTTAATTTTATTTAAGTTATTTGTTATGGTTTTCTTTCCAAGAAGTTTTAATTATTATTTTTAATTTTTAGTCTGCAATTTTTTATGATTTGTTTAAATGTCATTAAGTTTTTGAAAACAAAATCAAATACAACGTAAGGCAGATCGAATTCAAATAGACATTTATAAATAAGATACCTTCGTGTGCGTGTGTAAAATGTCATGATATATGTAAACAGAAGTTTGCTTAGTATGTAAAGAATACATGCAAACGTCCGTGTGTTTAATATATATCGTTCTGGACGCCTGACGATCGCGGTAACGTGAAACTTAAGTAGCTCTCCAAACATTGTCTCCTTCTAAGTCATGACGCTGGGAAGCGTAATTGCTCTGTCTTGGCAACAAAGACATGAACCACTTTTTTATTGTTTAGCTAGGTGTTTGCTTTTTATTCTTCTACTGGTTTTCTTTCATCAGTTTTAGTTTTAATATTAGTTTTTTTCTTTATATATATATATATATATATATCAGAAAAAGAAGATACGAGACATATCACAGCATAGCCACACGTCTCTCCAATTCGGTTTAAATTCTGAAAATCATAGAACTGTGAAACCGGTAATGTTTCTCTAAATAAATATACTTAAACACTCCGGTTGTTTTTCAAACTTCTTTTTCTTATGTTTATTCCGCGTGTGAGATATATTTTTTAAAAAAAAAACTTCCTTTCTTACTGTTAGTGTGTATGTATGTGTAATAACAAACATGATAACTAGAGTAAATTATAGATTATCTTTTAAAATAGTCCAACTTATACGTTAAAATAATGTTATTGATTTGTCTAAAATAAATTATTCTTGACAAATGTAGAACAGGAAACGTACCCAACGCGCTAAGTTGCATAATATCGTTCATAGATTTTTGCAATGGTACACGTGATATAATATTTTCCTGTAATCATAGTGAGTTTTATAAATAAGTGCATGAAATATGAATATCCATGATGGTAAATTTGAAGTGATATTTTGGTACAAATATTTTTCCTAGAAATTTTTCTCGTAACGCCATGTTTATTCTGATTCATTTCAAAATTACACCCTTTTAATTTAATCCCTATGACCTTAACGACACACTATCTTTTATCCTAAAATCTTTATATTTTTATAAGCTGTGTGATTTCAAATTTGGTATATTTAGAGAGCAAAAGCGCTCAGTATCAAAATTGAGCATTTATAGATATAGACAATTTGGAGATAGCAAGCAACACTGCATACTGACGCTCGGCTTCAGACCACTACTACTACTCCTTGAGCGGGAGTGTATATTGCAGGCCATATGCATATATATATATATATATATATATATATATATATATATATATATGTCACAAGAGGAAACGGCCATTTCTAGACTGTTCTCTGTAGGGATAATCCTAAACTTGGTTTAGCGTTCATGGTTTCTAGCTTGCTCATTTATGCTGGTTGAGTGGTTGGAGGAAGTGTGTGTACACACACACACACACATATATATATATATATATATATATATATATATATATATATATATATATAACAGTCTATTATTTATTATTTTATTTAGCTTTATTATTTATATATTGGCTTCATATACTTGCTTTTATCGTTCATTTTTGTTTATCTTTTTGGTATTTAGTATTATGTTATTTGATATATATTTGATTTAAAAATAGTATGCCTAATTTCAAGGATATCTTTCATCTAAAAATATATATATATTTATATTTATTTGTGTGTGTGTGTGTGTGTGTGTTTTTGTTCGGGCTCATGTGTATGTATGTGTGTGTGTTCTCTCTTTGTCTATTAGATGATAGAAAAAAAATTGCTCTCTCCATAATAGGAGAGATTGCATAGAGTAACCACTGCTTAGAAGTACATTGTAAATTGTACCTTCGGAAAACTACC